GCCGAATTTAAAACTCTCGTTTTAAAACCAATTGTAAAACCCCATTAAGACCAAATTAAAATCATTTATCATTTATGATATTTTCATAAATTATTTCCAAATTAAAATCATTTATGACCTTTCTTGCCACGGCTGTTAAGTGAATCACTGCAGTTGTTAAGTTAGTCACACAGTTGTTGAGTGAACCTGGCTTCCTCATTGACTTTGCTTGTCCGAAGGTCGCAAAAGGGGATCACGTGACCTGGGGGCAGTGCAACCGTCATAAGGTACATGCCAGTTGCCAAGCATCCGAATTTTGATCACGTGACCACGGGGATGCTGTAATTATTGTAAAAGTGAATTTACAGTTTTTCAGGGCTGTTGTAACTTTGAACGGTCATTAAATGGTCATTAAGCTCTGCAACCAAACAAGACAAACACATTAACTCAGACTTCAGAGGATAATTAGAACTGCAGAAAAAAACAATTACTACCAACCTGCCTTCCATGGAGGACCTGTATACTGCACGAGTCAAAAAGAGGGCTGTGAAAATATTTTCAGACCCCTCACATCCTGGACATAAACTGTTTCAACTCCTACTCTCAAAACGACGCTATAGAGCACTGCACGCCAGAACAACTAGACACAAGAACAGTTTTTTCCCCAACGCCATCACTCTGCTAAACAAATAATTCCCTCAACACTGTCAAACTATTCACTAAGTCTGTATTACTATTATTCTTCTCTTCATTCCTAGTATTTATCTCTTCCCACTTATTACTATAATCATGTTGCTTGTATCTTTCAATTTATATTGTTTTATTTGTTTCCTAGTATGATTTGTTAGTTTATTAGTAATCTTGACTATCACTAAGTGTTGTATCTTTTTATTCTTGATGAATGTATTTTATTATCCTTATGTACACTGACAGCATATACACCAAAGACAAATTCCTTGTGTCTCCAATCACACTTGGCCAATAAAGAATTCAATTCTGTTCTGTTCTGTTCTGTTCTGTTCTGTTCTGTTCTGTTCTGTTCTGTTCTGTTCTATTCTATTCTATTCTATTCTATTCTATTCTATTCTATTCTATTCTATTCTATTCTATTCTATTCTATTCCATTCCATTCCATTCCATTCCATTCCATTCCATTCCATTCCATTCTTATTCTTATTCTTATTCTTATTCTTATTCTTATTCTTATTCTTATTCTTATTCTTATTCTATTCATGAACTGTTGTAAGTCAAGGACTTCCTGTACTAGAGTTTCCAGATCCTGGGCAATTTCAATGGTTCGAGTAGTACAGTATCATCAGGGTATCACAGGTTTCTTCCTCCAATTTTCAAACTGTGCTCATCTTCTAACTCTATGCAGCCTCTCTCATACAGAGCCAGCATGTGTCTTTAATTGTTAATGATGCTTAATGGATCCAAGGTTAAAAAAAGAAGCAAAATGGCAATAAAGGAGAAAGGTTTCCTTAGCACATAGTCTTATCCAAGACCAAAGATGCTTCTTTCTTGAAAAAAATGGTAATACAGGTAGTCCTTGACTTACCACCATAATTGAGCCCAAAATGTATGTTGCCAAGTAAGACATTTGTTAAATGATTTTTGCCCCATTTTACAACTTTTTTTTTTGACATAGTTGTTAAGTGAATCATTGCAGCTGTTAAATTAATCTGGTTAAATAAATCTGGTTGTTAAGGGCATCTGGCTTCCCCATTGACTTTGCTTGTCAGAAGGTCCCAAAAGTTGATCACATGACCCCGGGACACTGCAGCTGTCATAAATATGAGTCGGTTGCCAAGCATTCAAATATTGATTACTTGACGGTGGGGATGCTGCCACATCACAAGTGTGGAAATCGGTCATAAGTCACTTTTTTCACTGCTGTTGCAACTTTGAGTGGTCACTAAACAGACTGCTGTAAATTGTATTTGTATTTTGAAATAATTCATTCAAGGAATAGAATACAAAAATTAATTAGGGCTTGGTTGACCAATATTTAGGCCTTACAGTTCCAATGGGAAAGCTGGAAATACAGAAATTAAGGAAAGGAAATTCAGGCTGAATCTTGGCACAAATTTCTGGATTATTTATTGATCTGTGTCCCTGTTTTCATAAATAACTCAAGGTGTCAAACATACTTCTTTCTCCTTCTTCCTGCTATTTTCCCCACAATAAAAACTCTGTGAGGTGGGCTGGGCTAAGAGAAGGACTGGCCCAAAGTCACCTAGCTAGCTTTCATGCCTAAGGCAGGACTAGAACTCCCTGTCTCCTGGTGATTTGGCCCAAAGTCACCCAGCCGGCTTTCATGCTTAAGGCGGGACTAGAACTCCCTGTCTCCTGGTGATTGGCCCAAAGTCACCCAGCCGGCTTTCATGCTTAAGGCGGGAATAGAACTCCCTGTCTCCTGGTGATTGGCCCAAAGTCACCCAGCCGGCTTTCATGCTTAAGGCGGGACTAGAACTCCCTGTCTCCTGGTGACTGGCCCAAAGTCATCCAGCTGGCTTTCATGCTTAAGGCGGGACTAGAACTCCCTGTCTCCTGGTGATTGGCCCAAAGTCACCCAGTCTGCTTTCATGCTTAAGGCGGGACTAGAACTCCCTGTCTCCTGGTGATTGGTCCAAAGTCACCCAGCCGGCTTTCATGCTTAAGGCGGGACTAGAACTCCCTGTCTCCTGGTGATTGGCCCAAAGTCACCCAGCCGGCTTTCATGCTTAAGGCGGGACTAGAACTCCCTGTCTCCTGGTGATTGGCCCAAAGTCATCCAGCTGGCTTTCATGCTTAAGGCGGGACTAGAACTCCCTGTCTCCTGGTGATTGGCCCAAAGTCACCCAGCCGGCTTTCATGCTTAAGGCGGGACTAGAACTCCCTGTCTCCTGGTGATTGGCCCAAAGTCACCCAGCCGGCTTTCATGCCTAAGGCAGGACTAGAACTCCCTGTCTCCTGGTGATTGGCCCAAAGTCACCCAGCCGGCTTTCATGCTTAAGGCGGGACTAGAACTCCCTGTCTCCTGGTGATTGGCCCAAAGTCATCCAGCTGGCTTTCATGCTTAAGGCGGGACTAGAACTCCCTGTCTCCTGGTGATTGGCCCAAAGTCACCCAGTCTGCTTTCATGCTTAAGGCGGGACTAGAACTCCCTGTCTCCTGGTGATTGCCCAAAGTCATCCAGCTGGCTTTCATGCTTAAGGCGGGACTAGAACTCCCTGTCTCCTGGTGATTGGTCCAAAGTCACCCAGCCGGCTTTCATGCTTAAGGCGGGACTAGAACTCCCTGTCTCCTGGTGATTGGCCCAAAGTCACCCAGCCGGCTTTCATGCTTAAGGCGGGACTAGAACTCCCTGTCTCCTGGTGATTGGCCCAAAGTCACCCAGCCTGCTTTCATGCTTAAGGCGGGACTAGAACTCCCTGTCTCCTGGTGATTGGCCCAAAGTCATCCAGCTGGCTTTCATGCTTAAGGCGGGACTAGAACTCCCTGTCTCCTGGTGATTGGCCCAAAGTCATCCAGCTGGCTTTCATGCTTAAGGCGGGACTAGAACTCCCTGTCTCCTGGTGATTGGCCCAAAGTCACCCAGCCGGCTTTCATGCTTAAGGCAGGACTAGAACTCCCTGTCTCCTGGTGATTGGCCCAAAGTCACCCAGCCGGCGTTCAGGCCTAAGGCAGGACTACATTCAGCAGTGACAATTCTGCCTAAAACAGAGGACTCCATCATGGAGAATTTCAAATAGAAACTCCTCTGTCTGAAACATTAAGAAGATTCCTTACATGAAGCAGGGGTTGGACTAGATGACCTCTGAGAACTCATCCATTTTATAATGGCTTGCAGTTGCAGAACCGGCAAAGGCTCTCCAAAAAAGTCCAGCGGACTAACGTTTCTTCTCCATTCCTGGTTCTTGTCTTCTTTTTCATCTGCTGGGGGGGGGGATTCGAACCCGCAACCTTGTGTGTCACGGACCCACAATCCAGGACCCCACAAAATCCCACAAGCTCTGTGAGGAGGAGCCTTGCTCATTAAGGCCATGTGGAAAACAGCAGGCTTTGTGTCCCAGAACCCATAACTCTCTGGAAAGGCAAACAGTTCCCTCAGATACAATGGGAGCTGTCGCAGCTGGTGACAAACCTACTTTCCTGGACTGGTGACTAGTTAGAGCTATCTGGAAAGTTTTTAGTTTATCTGAAATAACCCTGATCTGAATATGACTGCCACCATCGCCTTCCCAATGCCTACAATTCAACAGTTTTACAAGCAGGAAAGTCTTCCCCTCCTCTCCCCCCCACCCACTCCCTCCCCACAGGGCATTCTCTCCATTCAACAGGGATACATCTGTTGAATGACTGCCTGATCTTGTCCATTTGCTATCTGGGATACTGAGATCTGGAGAAGAGAAAGCAACAGCAGGTTTCCATTTCAAAAAAAGCCCCCCTCCCCTGGTTCAGCATGGATGGAACAACAGAATTTGAGTAGCCTATTTCTTTCTTGGGAACGTGATACTTGGACTTCAGCCACGTCGTAGAAACCACATTCCACCCCCAAAACACAAAACAATCCCACACCCCACACATGCCAAGACGTTGACTGTGAACAATTCAATGACCTGCATTCTTCCGGGTGTCCCAAACGCAACTCTCGCCCCTTCGTTGTTTCTCAGTCAGCAACCCAGTCGGGATGTTTACAAAGGAAAACGGCGGAAACATTTTTCAACTTCATTCAACTTAATGTTGCAATCTTGGAAATGCCAAACGTGCTTCGGAAACTGCCCAGTCGGAACAGCCTATAATATGATCACCTTTGTGGCCCAGACCAGCTCCAAATGCACAGCCAGTTTTGTGATGAAAGTGCTGGGCCCAAATCAGCCCAACCTGTCTGGCGGGATCAAATCATCAAGATTTAATTTGGAGCAGTGCAAACAGGAATTTTAACTCTATTTTTTTTTTGCAGCACGGAAAGCTAGTTAGTGGACAAACATACACAAACACACACACACACACACATATATTTTTGCCTTTGCACTTGCCTCAAACCGCACAGCCATGTTGCTCAGTTGTCCCCTGAACTGCTCACCATCTTTCTCAAAACAGGTTGGTTCCAAGGAGTTTTAAGCAGGGGGGCTCACCGAGTTCCGGAACCCATCCAAAGTCTGGGAAGACTTTGTTCTCTACCTGCTCCAGAGGAGCCTTTCCCCAGGAAAAAACAGGCTGGCAGAGAAGCAGGGCGGTCCCCTGCATTCCCCTCCGCCCCTTTCCTTGAGTTCCCAAGCTCCGCCCAGGCACCTGGGTCAGGTGAAGCCTCGCCACCGCTCACACACGGATTCCAGGTGGGGCCAAGCCAGAGCACGCCAGTTCTCTGCCAAGCTATGCAAAGTCCAGAAGTGTCTGTGGACGTTAAGGACAAGTACTACTACAAGTACTTAACTACTTGGATAGTAGTTTTGAGCCACACATTTGGTTGCAGCTGGCTCAGAAGCCAGAGTGATCTGCAAGAGAGGAAGGATTTCTGATTCCCACCTCTGTTTGTTTTCCTTCCTGGTGATTTTTTTTTTCCTTCAAGAGCAGATTCTGAGGTTTTCTCTTTTTTTCCCCCCCCCCCAGATCAATTGACTGTTGATCTATTGATTGCAACAGGAATTGACCGACCGGCTTGTTGTCGGAGTTTGACATTGTTATCGAAAGAGAATGACTGGCCCAAAGTCACCCAACCGGCTTTCGTGCCTAAGGCGGAATTAGAATTAGCCTGGTTTCTGAACCACTAGACCATATCTTTAACCACACAAACTTTTAAAAGTTTCCAGCCTTGGTTTCCCTGTGCTTAACAATGGTGGTGGCTTCCTATGCGGTGAACTTGTGTAGTTGCAAGGAGCATGGATAGGGGCCTGGGTACGTTCTAGAGATTTAGCCTAAAATATCCCAATAATATATTATATATCCCTAATGCCAGCTTTAGCAATGCTGTCATGCTTCATTACTTATGCTGGTGTGTTTCCTGCAATGAGTTAACTTAAAGCACCAATATTCCCACGGTTGATTTTTGGATGCTGTACTGATTTATTTACTTAGCAGAGTACAAGGGTTTTTTTTTTCTCTTTTCTTCAGATCAGCTCAGTGTTGATCTATTGGTTGTGACAGGAATTGACTCATCAGCCTGTCAGCTGAGCCTGAGGTCATGGGCTGAGGGGAAGAGCGACTGGCTCAAAGTCACCCAGCCAGCTCTCATGCCTGAGGTGGGACTAGAATTCACAATCTACATTGCAGCTCTTTCTCCTGTTTCACAGAATAACAGAGTTGGAAGGGACCTCAGAGGTCTTCTAGTCCAACCCCCTGCTCAAGCATGAGATCCTATACCATTTCAGACAAATGGCTGTCCAATATCTTCTTAAAAGCCTCCAGTGATGGAGCGTTTACAACTTCTTAAACATTTGAATATCTTGAATAGACTTATAGACAGGCGCTATATAACAAAATGAAATCCAATGGTGAAAAAAGTAAGGTTCTACATTTAGGGAAGAAAAACAAAATGCACAGGTACAGTGTATGTGGTACCTTGCTCAATAGTAGTAACTGCGAGAGGGATCCTGGAGTCCTAGTGGACAATCACTTAAATATAAGCCAGCAGTGCGCAGCAGCTGCCAAAAAAGCCAACACAGTTCTGGGCTGCATAAACAGAGGGATAGAATCAAGATCACGTGAAGTGTTAATACCACTTTATGATGCCTTGGTAAGACCACACTTGGAATATTGCATTCAGTTTTGGTCGCCACGATGTAAAAAAAGACGTTGAGACTCTGGAAAGAGTGCAGAGAAGAGCAACAAAGATGATTAGGGGACTGGAGGCTAAAACATATGAAGAGCGGTTGCAGGAACTGGGTATGTCTAGTTTAATGAAAAGAAGGACTAGGGGTGACATGATAACAGTGTTCCAATATCTCAGGGGTTGCCACAAAGAAGAGGGAGTCAAACTATTCTTCAGAGCACCTGAGGGTAGAACAAGAAGCAATGGGTGGAAACTAATCAAGGAGAGAAGCAACTTAGGACTAAGCACCTGACAGTTAGAACAATTAATAAGTGGAACAAGTTGCCTGCAGAAGTTGTGGATGCTCCAACACTGGAAATTTTTAAGATGTTGGATAACCATTTGTCTGAAGTGGTGTAGGGTTTCCTGCCTGGGCAGGGGGTTGGACTAGAAGACCTCCAAGGTCCCTTCCAACTCTGTTATTCTATTTCTGTTTCTGTTTCTATTTCTATTTCTATTTCTATTATTTGTATGAGCCACGGTGGCGCAGTGGTTAGAGTGCAGTACTGCAGGCTACTTCTGCTGACTGCCACCTGCCTTCAATTTGGCAGTTCAACTCTCACTGGCTCAAGATTGTCTCAGCCTTCCATCCTTCTGAGGTGGATTAAATGAGGCCCCAAATTGTTGGGGGTAATATGCTGACTTTGTCATTTAGAGAGGGCTGTAAAGCACTGTAAAGCGCTTTAGATAAGTCTTAAGTGCTATTGCTATTGCTATTCTGAAGGAAAGCTGTTCCACTGATTAATTTTTCTGTCAAGAAATTTCTTCTTCGTTCTCTTCTTGATTAATTTCTATTCATTACTTCTTGTCCTGTCCTCAGGTGCTTTGGAAAATAGGTTGACCTCTTCTTCTTTGTGGCAGCCCCTATATATTGGAACATTGCTATCATGTTAACCTCCTAGATCAGGGGTGTCTAATTCAAGGCCCGGGGGCCGAATTTGCCTCACGGGGTGCTTAGATCTGGCCCATGAGGCCACCCTAGAAACAGGAAAGAACCGGCTCGCGATGCCTCTGCCAGCAAAAATGGAGCTCGGGAAGGCCATGTGCGGCCCTCCTGAGCTTCGTTTTCACTGGCAGAGGGTTGCAGGAGGCCATTGCAGCTCAGGAGCCCGTTTTCGCTGGCAGAGCGCTCGCACCGCCACAGGCACCCCGACACAAATTATGTCGAGCTGGTCACACCCACCCTGGCCATGCCCCCTCCCCCCCACAAGTCAAACACAACCCTGATGCAGCCCTCAATGACATTGAATTTAACACTCTTGCCCTCGATCAGGGGTGGGCAAATGTGGCTCTTTTACAACCTGAGGACTTCAACTCCCAGAATTCCTGAGCCAGCTTGGCTGTCTCAGGAATTCTGGGAGTTGAAGTCCACAGGTTGTAAAAGAGCCATATTTGCCCACCCCTGCCCTAGATCAACCAAATCTCCTGCTTTCTAGCTGTTGCCTTCACCCCTAAACCAAGCTGGCTCTAAACCTAGATGAAAAGTCAGTATAGCAAAAGAACAGGAGAAGGGAGAGAGAAAGTTTTGCTGCCTTCTGTGTGAGCCGTTGTTCACAATTCCTTTACATCTTTTTATCAGACCTGTTGATCAGTGGCTGATGTCTTATGAAGTCCTGGGTTCAAAAGTTTCCTTCCTTTATTTAGCCAATTTCTACCTCTATATTAGACCTCGGGCGGTGAATTCAAAACACTCGGGAGGTGGATTTCAAAAACCAACATTCTGCCTGAAAAATTGCTGACCTTGCCTCTGAATCTCTCTCCGAATTTAGTAAACGGCAGATCATTCTAGTTTCCCCTTCTGCTCCCAGCCAGCGTCAATATTTGTTGTGGAAGATTTGGACTGGGGTTAGCAGACAAAAAAGGAGGGGAAATTGCTCCGCAGAGGTCAAAGGTAAATCCCAGATTTGAACAAAATCTCAAACACTGCAAAAATGCTAAAGTAGCTAGGCAGAGCCGGCCTGAAGTCCTTAAGGTGGATGGGTATTGTTGTAGTTGCAGGATTGAGAATGGCCTATCTGTTTCTTGCAGAGGTCAAACCCAGGGATTTCTTAAAATCTGATTTTCCTTTGGAAACGAGGTTCTGATCAGCATCTCAAAAGCTTGGGGAAAAAATTGTTTTCTGCCTCAAATGTAATCAGGCATCCCCAATCAGTATAGGAAGCTTTTACAATGGCTTTATTCACATGAAAGCATTCCTTTTCTTTAAAAAAAAAAAACTCTGTTTTCAAACTTCTGTGCATATTAGAAAGCAACAGAGAAAAGAACTTTTAATTGAGCTCTAGAGAAGGAATGAAATCTTTAATCTGATGCCGTGTTTCATGACCTCAGGAACTTGAAGAGGTATGGATTTCAATTCCTAGCATTCCCCAGCCAGCCTTGGTTGAGAAACACTGATCTAATCAGTCAACTCAAACAGTCCATATTAGATTGTCGCCTTCTTTAGATGCACAAATAGAACAGACAATTGACAAGGACAACTGAAGAAGCTCTGCTCAGAAACAAACCCCTTAAATCATGGGATGCTCCCAAGGTGGCAACCAACAGGAGGAAGGACGTGTCCTAGATATGTTTGCCACCTTGAGTTATTTGTAAAAATGATAAAGGAAGGATATAAATAAATAAATAAGTAAGTAAATAAATAATATTGGTGTTTTACTCACTTATTTTATTGTTTTATTATTAAATTTATATGCTGCCCATCTCAACGCTGGGCGGAATATAAATTTATTTATAAAGGCAAGCCTCAATTTACGACCACAAATGCAGCCCAAAATTTCTGCTGTTAAGTGAGACATTTGTTAAGTGAGTTTTGCCCCATTTTATGACTTTTCTTGCCACAGTTGTTAAGTGAATCACTGCGGTTGATAGGTTAGCAACCTGATTGTGGAATGAACCTGGCTTCCCCTTTGATTTTGCTTGTGAGAAAGTCACAAAAGGGAATTATATGACCTCGGGACATAGCAACTGTCATAAATATGAACCAGCATTCAAATTTTGATCACATGATCATGGGGATGATGCAAAGGTCATAATTGTGAAAAACTGTCGTAAGTCACTTTTTTCAGTGCTGCTGTAATTTTGAAGTCACTAAAAGAACTGTAGTAAGTGGAGGACTACTTGTATACAGTTTTAGCCTTATCGAACAAGAGTTATACAACTTTTCTAGTTTCTCCAGTTCTGAGATGCCATATCAGAAGAAATTTGAATAATAATTTGAATAATAATAATATGGGAGTGAACAGCAGAGGGCGTCGTGCTCATCAACATCCAACATCTTAGTCCTCCCCGTATGATCAGAATCGGGATGGGATGTTTGGTTGCTGTGTGATACGTTCATTAAGAGAGTCTGATTATAATACCTTTTTTGCTGTGGTCATTAAGCAAATCATATAATCATTAAGTGAA